TATCTGTCTGTCTATCTATCTATCTATCGCTTTTTGAGTTATCTTATTGAAGAAAGTTTACAGTTGTTTCTTGTTCCAAACATTATTTATGATCAAATTACGCAACAATGTACCTGATTAAAAAACACACTAATAAATGAAAAATAATATAGTAAAACGTAAGAAACATTCTAAAAAGCCTTTATTGTGCGTGATCCTGTAGCTCTGCGCTTGCGTGGCGTGTTGTTGTGCTGCTGCGGTCTCTTTAAGCGCGCTGTAACGTGACTCCGGGCTTTTCTCCTCCTCGCAGAAGCAGCTCGGATCTGCTGACGTGTCGGCAGCGGCTCTGCGATCAACAGCTGCCAGCATGGCTGCACCGAATCCCTGTTTTTATTATGTTTTTATGCTCGGTCTGTACGCGTGTTTCCCTCAGAGCAGTGCAGACCGGCGCTTCTCGGACCTGAAGCGATGCGCCGATGATGAATGCAGCAGTGAGTATCTCTGGAACTTTGTATCAGGATGCTGCTGACGTCATAAAGGCCGCATCGCCGCTGCCGCGGGATACTGGAACTTTGTAACAAATGTAACAATAAATGAATTTAATGAGAAGCGGGGTTTTATGCTGCGTAGAGGGCTGATATTGAGCAGCGGCGTCCTTGAAGATCCTGTCTGTTGACACTGAGCTCAGTTTAGCCAGTCGAGCTAACAACATGATCGCACTGCACACTCAATATGGTTCTTTGACCCAGTCGATGCATGTTATATGCTTTTAATATGGTACTATCACATGCTGAAACCCTTAATAACATTAAATATAAGGCCTGGTTGCATATCGCCATGTAAAACTGACCAATTGCTTGATTGGGAAGGTCGTTATTACAAACAGCCTGCGAAACGTGATTCGATTGTTCACGTTTGAGATGAATTGGGTTGAACTGTTGTTGACAAAAAACATACATAAAACTATATAAAAAAAAAATATATATATATATAACTCTCTGATGCATGAATTATTAATTCACAAAAGAAATTGCTTCTTTTTCAAAACAGCACTAATAATTTTATTGTTAGGTATTAAAACAACTTGTAGGTGTTCTTACTCGAACTTTACTGTAAAACTAACGTTTAAAAATAAAAAAAACTTTAAAAACATCAGATATATTGTCTTTTAAAATATAAAATATTTTTATTTTTTATGGTAAGGCAACTTAATTTAGTTAACAATTTTATTAACTAGCATTTTAATATATTTTTTCCTGTTAAAATTACTAAACTTATACAGTAAATAATATAATCATTCCCAATCCCTCTTTCCTTAGATTATGTATTTGCAATAAAATATAATTTTCATTTTTACTTGTAGCACCACTTTCATCAGAAATTGTGAATTTATGTTATCATTAAATGGTAAAAAAATGCATGCAGTACTGTTTCATCACACAGTTGCAAAACATTCAACGCACAAAATTTCTTAATGCAACCTGATTGGTTGAATCTCACAAAAACTGTCCATAAATATCCAGATCATGTTGTAGTTCAAAATAATTAGTAAGAAATTAAGGATATATTTTGCTTAAGACATAAATTCCCATTTTGGACCATTATGATTTGTTGCATTGTCCCTTTAATATGCTTTATTTTTGATGCAAATTAGAATGAATTAATCACAATGTTTTTTATGCCATATTGCATTCGATTCTAAGTTAAAAATCCACATTGCAAGCAAAAATCTAACATTTTTCATGCAACTTTCATGCAGAAAAGTGTTTTGTTCTTAACTTCAAGTGAATGTACATGGTAAGCTTTCATAATCGAACTATATATATATAACTCTCTGATGCATGATTTATTAATTCACAAAAGAAATTGCTTCTTTTTCAAAACAGCACTGTAATAATTTTATTGTTAGGTATTAAAACAACTTGTAGGTGTTCTTACTCGAACTTTACTGTAAAACTAACGTTTAAAAATAAAAAAAACTTTAAAAACATCAGATATATTGTCTTTTAAAATATAAAATATTTTTATTTTTTATGGTAAGGCAACTTAATTTAGTTAACAATTTTATTAACTAGCATTTTAATATATTTTTTCCTGTTAAAATTACTAAACTTATACAGTAAATAATATAATCATTCCCAATCCCTCTTTCCTTAGATTATGTATTTGCAATAAAATATAATTTTCATTTTTACTTGTAGCACCACTTTCATCAGAAATTGTGAATTTATGTTATCATTAAATGGTAAAAAAATGCATGCAGTACTGTTTCATCACACAGTTGCAAAACATTCAACGCACAAAATTTCTTAATGCAACCTGATTGGTTGAATCTCACAAAAACTGTCCATAAATATCCAGATCATGTTGTAGTTCAAAATAATTAGTAAGAAATTAAGGATATATTTTGCTTAAGACATAAATTCCCATTTTGGACCATTATGATTTGTTGCATTGTCCCTTTAATATGCTTTATTTTTGATGCAAATTAGAATGAATTAATCACAATGTTTTTTATGCCATATTGCATTCGATTCTAAGTTAAAAATCCACATTGCAAGCAAAAATCTAACATTTTTCATGCAACTTTCATGCAGAAAAGTGTTTTGTTCTTAACTTCAAGTGAATGTACATGGTAAGCTTTCATAATCGAACATGAAGTGAGTAGTTTTTATCCTAACGTGTTTTTTTGTGTCTCTTTAGTGCTTCTCGGCAGAGGGAAGGCCGCCAAGGATTTCACGGGGCCGGACTGCCGGTTTCTCTCTTTTAAGAAAGGAGAGACGATATATGTATATTATAAACTCTCAGGGCAGAGATCAGACGTGTGGGCTGGTAGTGTAAGTAAACTGTTAATGATTGATTGATTGATTGTTTGGTTGTTATGGGTGTTGCTGATGATGTACTCAGTTGCCATGCGGAGTATTTGATTAGTATTATTATTATTATCATCGCAAACAGTCTACATGTATTTATTTAGTTGGGCGACAGATCATGCATGAATCTTCAACAGCTGAGAAATGTGTTAAAGGAATAGTTCACACAAAAATGAAAATTTGCTGAAATATGCTCACCCTCAGAGCATCCAAGATGTAGATGAGTTTGTTTCTTCATCAGAACAGATTTGGAGAAATGTAGCATTGCATCACTTGCTCAGCAATGGATGCTCTGCAGTGAATGGGTGCCGTCAGAATGAGAGTCCAAACACCTGATAAAAACATCACAATAATCCTTAAAAAATCTTGAGAAGACAAAATAAATAAATTCATTATTACGGCGTTTTCAAACCATTGCTTCCAGCTAAAATATCCATAATCCATAATAACACTTCCTCCAGTGAAAAAGTGGTCTGGTCTGAATCAAGAAAGAAATCTGCACAGATCAAGCACCGTTTACAAGCCAAAACAGTCCAGAACAGTTTTAAACAAATATGTGGGTGGATTTTGAAGTGAAGGACAATACACAATGGTCTTTTTCACCAGAGGAAGCGTTATTATGGATTATGGACTCGTATTTTAGCAGGAAACAATGGTTTCAAGTTCAGACATCTTGATAGATTTGTTTCTTTTCGCGTCACAAGACATTAACTGATGGACTGGAGTGCTGTGGATTACTTGTGGATTATTGTGATGTTTTTATCAGCTGTTTGGACTCTCATTCTGACGGCACCCATTCACTGCAGAGCATCCATTGCTGAGCAAGTTATGCGATGCTACATTTCTCCAAATCTGTGCCCTTTACCTGTATTGGAGGTTTAGTATGATAGTAAATGTTTGATTCTGGTTTTAAAATGGTCTAAATCCAATTCCAAACTCAGTGCATTACCATAAGCTTAATTAAACAAATTAATTTAAATAGCTTGAGTTGAAGGAAATGTTGACTATGAGTATATGATAAATAGTTAAACTAATTAAAATGTAGTATTTTACCTAGTATTTGTGTGCTTTGTGTTAGAGTTTATTCAACTTTCCTCTCTATTTATTTGTTTCAATACTTTTTTTAATGAGAGTGGAATATAAAAAAAATTAATTTTTTTTACATTTTTTTTTTACATTTTTAAATATAAGTGCAGACTGCCATGTTTTGTGCATATTATTTTAGTTCTTATTTTATGCATTATATATTTTTTCTTTTGGTTCTGTTTTATTTTTACTGTTTTTTTATGGTTTTATGTTTTTTGAAAACTGTGTTAAAAGGTACTTATACTGTAGCGCAAAAATGTACCTTTTCTTCTCTTCCTCTGTTTGCATAGGTTGGAAACCACTTTGGTTATTTCCCAAAGGAATATCTTAATATAAATCATATATATACTGAAAAAGAAT